AACATTCATACAAAAATAGTTTACAAACTTTGTAATATGCACATGAAAAATGATGTTCTAACAAAACTTTCTAGGAAGAAACAAACCTTCTTATTGTGAAACCTTGGGCTACAAATTTACACATAATTTTCACAACCTTACCAATCTTATCAGGCTTTAGATATCCATGATTGTAGCTCCTTTGCTTGGTACTGGATTTCCATACTTTTGATTCTTTCAGCTTCGTTCAACAAATCTTACATTGCTAGAATCCAACATTCATCATTTAATGCTTCCTCATAACCGTTTTCAACTAGTATAAATGTGTCACTAGCAATTTATTGCAAGCTATCCACTGCAAGTTCTCCATCCTTATTCACAATTTGCTTAGAAAAGTATTAGTGTAAGGAAAAGTGCGCATGTTGAGATTTCTCTACAACTAATATTCTGAATTTCATAAAATCGTAAGTAGTAATGAATAAGAAATATGTCAATAGTCTTACCAAGACAGTTGCAACAAAAGAAAATAAGATATCTATAGCTCTGGTAGAATTTCATTCAAGATAATATCCAAAAAAAATATATTAAAGCACATATAAGTCAATGATGACAATTTATGCAAAAATGATGCTTTCTTTTCAAATCTGCTTTCAACTGAGGCACCGAACTAAAAATGTGAAAGATCATGGTTGTTGCAATAAAATGTCAAACAAATACTATTAAAACACACATCGATGATCAATGCAAATGCGTTATTTTCTTATATATAAAAAAAATATGACCTATGCAAAAGTAAGGATAATCATCAATAGAAACATATATATGCACCTTCCTAGCTTTTGAGTCTTAGGAATAGTCGAGTATCTCCACATGCACAAGTTACCGAGGCATCAATGTTAAACAACCTTCTCAGATTTGAATGAAGTATTGAAACATTCGCCAAGAGAATGGATATAAGAAGTAATTCTCTTCACAAATTATCTTAAGTTCGCAACTACATGAAAGAAATGCATGCATGCATTCTTGCTTATCCTAATGCTTATACAAATGGCATGGTTCATGCAAGATAAATTCGTAGCTATTCAAAATCTCTAAGTCAAGGATAAGATTAACACCAAACATAATGGTATTATGTTGCAGCTAGTCAACTCAAGCAATATGTAGTTGTACATATCATATTATACTTAACAAAAAAAAATGTTACTTGATACATATCACCTTATAAAGCATCTGAAGGAATTTTAATAACCTTTAGTGATACCAATCACTTAAGATTTACCATCACGTGTAATATTTCCTTCATCATTTGTATCGTATGTATGAACTTTGAAGCACCTTTAAGCATGTGCTTTGACCAGCCATTATGCAAATGTCATTTATCCCTTTTTATGGTTGGACTCAGAATTCCTGTAAAACAAATTAATTTATTTTTGGTACCCAAATCTTTTTGGGTCCTTCATGGTTAGTAGATTGTGTAATTCGAGATTCATTTAACTGGTTAGGTCTCCATACATATTTTGATCTAACATAACTTTTGCCATAATTGCATGCAAATACTTTATGTCCAGAATTGCCACAATAGTGGCATGTAATATGAGAAGAAGAGTATTTACCTGTAGCTGCCTTATTAGTTGACCTGGAACTTTCTTCAGTCAACTTGTTCAAAGTAGGATGTTTACCAGTAGATCCCTTTTCAGTCGACTTATAGCTGTTAAGCCAAGGAGTGACTTTGATCGATCAAAGTAGTGGCTGGGGGATTTGTGCAAGCTGGTTATTTATTTGCGAAGCTCAAAATTTTCTTGTCGAAGTAAGTTGTTCTCCACCAGATATTCTTTAAGCTGAATATCCCAGTCTTTCTTTTTATTTCTCAACTTGTTATATTCTTCAAGTTGGATCTCCCAATCTTTCTTCTCATCTGTCAACTTTTTATATTCTTCAAGTTGGATCTCCCAATTCTTCTTCTCCTTCCTCAACTTATTATATTCATTTAGAACTTTCTCAAGGTCATTAAGAACCAATTCAATGTCATCCTGCAATTCATCACATTTATGTATTGCGATAAATGTGATGAATTGCAGGATGATCACAATCCTCGTCGCTCCAAGATTTGTCATTCTTTTTCTTGAGATCACAATCCAGAATAATATTAAAGCACACCTCGTCGGTTTCTCCTCTTTTCTTGAGACATATGTTTGTCATTTCTTCTTGATCATCCTCATTGCTCCAAGTTGAGATTCTATGATTTTTATTCTTGAGGCCGGAGCATTTTAATTTCAAATTTCCAGGTTTACCACATTTGTAGCAGCATATGTTCTCTTGTTGTTGAACCTCATTCTTCCGATTCTTTTGATGATTCTAGATGGATTGAGATTTTCTATTCTGCTTCTTTCTACTCTTCATTGTTCTCGTCCTGGGTATCACGGCCAGGTCTTCTCGATCTTCACCATTTTCGGATTCTTCAAGAGTTGAAGTGGATTCAATTTCCTTAACTTTGTTGGCGTCCCCGTGGATATTTTTCAATCTGTACCATATATCTTTAGCAGTTTCACAGGTGGATATTCTCTTATATTCTTCTTCACTAATCGTAGAGCATGTTGATTGCTCTAGCATTTGTTTGCGTAATATCCAACTGTTCTTTTGTGTAGTCAAATATGGATGCCCTTTTTACAAGCTTCTTTCCATCACTATTGTTCAGAATAAGTCGTGGTCCATTCTGAATAACTAGCCATGCTCGATAATCTATTGATTGAACATAAACCTTCATTCTTTCTTTCCAATGGCTATAGTACTGACTATTGAAGTACGATGGCCTTCTTGTTGAGTATTCCTCTTGAAGTACAGTTCCAATAATTTGATATCCTGCCATGGATCTTTTCTCACTTGCTGTTAAGCAAAAAATAAAGATGTGAGACCTGCTCTGATACCAATTGAAAGTACAAGGGGGGAGGGTGTGAATTGTAGCCTTTTTAAATTTCTAGTTGACTACTCTTCAGACCTAGTCAACTTATGCGGAGACAGCTTGCACAGAACTGTTAGTCTTTTTGATTTAAACAAGAGTTAATCACAATAAACAGTAAAGGAACAAAATATAATATGAGAGCGATAAAGTAAATGACACCAGGAATTTATATACTGGTTCAGAACCAATGTGGTATCCTAATCCAGTCCTCTTGGGTTGCAAGAGTTTTGTCTTTTAGAGCTCTTAGTAAATTGAATTGAGTACAACCTTTGTGGTTTTCAGCGATCACCACCAATGTTGACAGGGTTGGTTTTCACTCGCTCACCAACAACAAACAAGAGTTGGTTTTCACTCGCTCACCAACAATGAACAAGAGTTGGTTTTCACTCGCTCACCAACAACGACCCTTTGGTTTTCACTCGCTCACCAAAGAAACGAACAATGACACAACCTCTCGGACACACTGCCTCTCCAATATTTTTCTGTCTCTCTTCTCTCTTTTGTGTACACAGTAAATCTAAAAGTGAATTACAATGCTTGTTAAGAATAGAATAAAGAACTTGTAGTTGGGTAGACAATTGTATAGAAGGTTGCGTACATTCTTCCTTCATAGAGATTGTATATTTATAGCCCTTTTAACTTGTTCTGGCTATTGCATAACCTAAGGAAATTTGACCGTTGGTCCTTTATTTGTTTCCATAATTTGCAGTTCCAGCACTTGTATGAATATGGATAGTATGTTGACTTGGCACTCCTTTGACGATGGATATACCATAGGCATATTTGCAACATTGATTTTCATTCCTTGTTTGACTTCTTGTATTTGGACAGATCTTAATTGTCTCCACTTTCTTTTCTTGAATATATAAGATCTTCATTGAGTACCAGCATGAGAATCCTTATGTAGAGGATTCTTTTCCTTTTATGGTAGTAGAATATTCTCTCTTTATTTGGATGCAATATCTTGGTTGATCTTCTTTAGAAAATCTTGCATTTCATAATTAATTTCTGCTGCATCTCCATGTGCATCGTTCTTCAACCTTCCATAGTCTTGATTCAATATTCGTGAATTTTTCATAAGAGCAATAGTCATTCTTTATATGGAACTCAAATTTATTTCATACATTATTCTCTTTCCATACCAAAGAGGAAATGTAGTAAGAATATATACCCATATATAATAGTAGCATCTTTGAACTTCTATTGGAAATATTGATCTTGGAAAATATTCTTCCATAATATAGATATTTTCTTTCCATAGAAAATATATTCTTCTCCTATTATATTGAAAAATATTTCTTTCTTGATCTTGGAAAATAAACTTTCCATAATATAGATTGTACTACATCCATAATATATTTTCTTTCCATAGAATATATATTCTTCCTTGGTCTTGTAATATTTTTTCCATGTAGTATTTTCTTCCACAAAATAGTAGATCTTCTCTATGATTCTAGCAACTTTCCTTTTAAGATGTTGAAAAACTTTCCATCCATAATTTCCGCAGATTCTTCTTCTGATATTGTAGTAAGCCATTCAATATTTGAAATTCACTTTCAAATATTATTCTTCTTTGATGCTTGGAGACTAAATCTCTGAAAATAATCTTCCTTGATATATTCTCACAAGATATTCTCTTTCCATGCTTGTTTGGATCTTTACCAGCATCTTCTTTCTTTAATAAACCTGTACACAAATAAGATTACCACAAGTAAATGTTCTTTGATTAATAATTGTGTTGGTTTGTTATCATCAAAATTAATATGTGAAACCTTGAAGCTAACAATATGATCATATGGTATCAGAGCAGACAGAGGTCCTGGGTTCAAGTCCTACCGCCATCCAATATGAAAAATAATTTTCACGTGCTTAACTCATCAAAATCAAGCCTGCACATGAAAGGCATGTTGAAGACATAATTAAGTAAATAAGTTAAAATTATGATTATCACATGCTTTTAACTCATTTCCCCATATCCACTTGTGAAATTGTTGCTGTTGTTGTTAGAAGCAACATTGTAGAAAGTTATGAGGACCAAAGTACATAAAGAAATAATTGAAGAGGTGAAGTCGTAATTTTAGCTTACGAAGAAAAACACCGTTTGTTGGTTTCTCTCCATTCCCTTGTACCTCAAATACAAGGTCCTCAACCAATCTGCTGTATTGTCATGGCAGTATCAATATCACCCTCGTATTCAAATTCATCCTCAATTCTACCAACCCCATCAATTACAAAATCCCCTTTTCGCATTTACCCCCTTCACAGCCTCAAATTTCCATTTTCATCCCTCAAATCTCAGTCATCAAAAACTTACCCTAAAAGAACAACCATTCTTGTTTGTGCAGCAGAAAATGGGAATAACGATACCGTTAGTTCAGATAAAGAGGTAAAGGAAAATGGGAGTAATAAGAATAATAATGGTGGAAGGCCCAGATTGAATTTGAGATGGGTGGATCTGATATTGGACCCGGACCCGGATAATATTGTGGCAGTTGGATTAACGGGTCTGCTGACATGGGCTAGTGTAAGTATATTGTGGCAGCTATTTGTTATAGCATTAGCTATTCTGCTTGCTGCTCTTAAGTACTCTTTTATTGCTGCTCTTCTTATTTTTATCCTTATTACCCTTCTTTGATCCCTGGTTTGTCCAAGTATTTAGCTATTTGGTACGTAATCCCCATTTTGTGCACTAAATTTTTAGTGTAAAGATAGTATATGAAATAGTAGTATTTTCTTTTGTTTAGCTTGGACTATCATGATTAAATTGAACTCCATTGTATCTTCTTGCGCTTCTACTTGGTTATGGTGTGAAAACGAATTCATGTTTGTTACTCCTTATATTCCAAAGTTTTTAAAAAAATATATAAATAAGAAACCTCCTAGGTCAGTGGGTAATGAGCTCGTCCCTTTATCTCTCTTCTCTTAAATACCAGGTTGTGATAGTTTTCGAAACCATGACGTGCGCCTAATCCTGAGTGCTGCTAGAGGCGAACCAGAGGGGTCTTCTGGCCCATTAACCTCGGCAAAAATTCTAGATATATATGTGCATATATGTTGAAAATAGTTAGTACTATATGTTTTGCCCGGAACCCTTAAGATTAAAAATTCAATGGGGCACGGGTGTGTGCAGCATTTTGTGAAAATACTGCATGAACTGGGGTTGCACAGTTGCCGTTCAAACAGGTTATGAGCAGTGACTGCATGTATTCATTCTGATGCTTTCACCTTAGTATCTGATAGTAGTACACCTAAGGTAAAAATGAATTGGTTGTACAACTAAGGAGGAGGGAAAACTAGGTATATTTAAGCTAAAACATCACCTCAACTCGAGATAATAGTTCCATTTCTTATTCCAAAATGCAACAGATAGACCTATCTCTTGCTGAATATAATTCAGTATGAAGTTCAGTGGTCATATGAACATGTTAAAATACTATGTGACCAAATGCTAGCTAGAATAGTTTAGTAGGTAAACTTTTTTACCCAAACCTTGAGCTCAGGCTTCTTTAAGGTCTTGATCACAAATTTATAATTATCATCACGAGATAGATAGAATATGCTGTCACTTTTTCCAGGAGAGGAAAACTCTCTCAGACCATCATCACCATAGATGTATATCATGTACTCTGTAGCATCCCGTTTCAACGAAAAAATTCTATGGGATATTCAAATCCCATCAGTAATGTAGGCATTCTTTTCCCCTGCCCTCCTCCATGTGAAAAAAAGATATAAAAATCCTACTCCCTCCGCCCCAATTTTTGTGGCGGAGTGCGGATTTCGAGAGTCAATCGAGTTTTTCTTTGACCGTAATTTTTTCATATGCTTTTTAGATGTTTTGAATATTAATTATTGTGATTTATAGCACTTTTTATGTAGTTTCTAAATATATAAATTTTGTTTAAAAAAACTTAAAAATTCTATGTCTGAATTTACGATTAAAATTAAGAAATTTGACTTTCGTAATCCTCAGCTCCGCCATATTATTTGGGACAGGGGGGAGTATAACTGTTTTGTCAATAAACCAGATTGACTAACGTAACCCATCCTTAAGAGGCTTTTCCCAAAATTCACTAATCAAGATAAGTTTTAGAGGCAAGAATAAAGCGAACACAAAAATTACATTGTATTGGAAGAAGCTCATTAACAGTAAATTCTTTTTCTTTACAAAACCCTTCGAAATTTTAGAGATGAAATTTCAAATACTAATTAAGAACAAACAAGGGGAGCATATGAGTTAGGATACATGCGATCCAAGATAATAACAAAAGCCATAAAAATGTGAGGTTCAAAGCCAGGTTGTACCACCAAGCTAAAAACTTCATCGCTAATCAAAATGGTAGTGCGAGTAGTAGTAGAGTTGGCTACTTTTCTTGATATATTGGCTACAATATGACCAGTAGAATTGGTGATGTTGCAATTTCGCCTACGGAATGAACCCTCTACCCTGTAATCGGGACGACGGACATTCTCATTCTCTCCAGCAGCAGTAAAGACTTGAGCCTGGCATGAGTTAGTCGCGGTTGTTCGCGTCATCATAAGCAGTGATAATGGAGGTTTTCTCATTACAAACAAAGGAGGAGAGTTGTTTGGAGTGGATCTATCATCATCTTCTTTTTCTCCTCCGCTATATGCATTCCATTCGTATTGTAATTGCATGCTCCTCATCTGTAAATTTTTTGAGATTAAGTATGATTATGTAATTCGTAATTAGTTAATAGAAGAAATATTGATATGATCGAAGAACTGACTAATTGTATTGGGAAAATTGAGTTTATATATATTGAAGTGATTGAAAGATGACATGTCATGACACAAAGGCCGGTCAAAGAATGATGATTAGCAAAGAATGAAGAAATAATGATATAATTGAAGAACTGACTAATTCTACGTCAAAAGGTCGAGAAACTCAATGTCGCTATTCTTGAACAGCTTGGAGTCGGGCTTTCGTTTCACACTATTACGGTTTATGGATATGAAAAAAATGGTCAAAATCAATTCACCTATTGTGATTTCTAATGCTAGAGTCAAAATAGGGACAAGCATCCATATGATCCCATAGAATTCTTTTAAAGGCCTTTACGCTCTGCCCTGTAAATGGACCTTTTCATTTATGAAAAGGTACATATCATGCCCGAATCTTCTTCCATAATGGTACGAAATAATATATAGTATCATTGGAGTAGATACACAGAATTACCTTAAATCTAAGAAGCCCAGTCGGTGACGATATAAAAAATTAAAGCATATGTACATGTAATTAATACCTGAGGTCTCAATGTTAAGAGAGTTTTACCATGTGCGTCCATGAGTACAAGTCCACCACCACCAGATCTTCCTTTGCCAGCAGCAATGGAACGATTCTTTCTTCTGGTGTAGTTGTCTACCCGGAAAACTAATTGGCCTAGTTTATCAAACACCGTGAATCCATCTGTCCCTTGGAAACTCATACTCGATCTCTTCCACACTGTGAAGATAGACGCCGCGCAGGCAGCCGGCGGCGGCAGCCTACTTATTAAGCGACCTGCAGGAGCTGGAGAAAGAACACATGAATAGATATTTCATGATCATGGGCAGAGTTAGAGTGTAGGAAGCGGGTTTGGCAGAACAATTTTGATTCAATAATTATTTCATGATCAGTGGCAGAGTTAGAGTACTAGAACCAGTGATTTTGATTCAAAGACATTCATTTAGTATGTACAAAAAATTAATTCGATAATTTAAGAGGACTTAAATATCGAACCTATAAGCTTCAAATTTTGACTCTGCCTCCGTTCATGATCGTCGGAGACACTAGGTTTGCTTCGCTTTCTATGATGATCTGCTGATGGATGAATCTTAGACATGTATTCCAATGAGATAAATTTAATTAGATGATGGTTAATTGCTCCCTTTCCCTTCCTCTTAATAACGTTAGAACCAATAAAAATCTTGGAGACTATATTCGGATAATTATTGTTTAATATGATTAATTAATCTCTCTATATGGTTTTGATCAATATGCATAGTGGAAGATGACGAGCCTTTGTCGCCTCCGTCTTCCTTGAATGGGTTTCAAACTTAGTACTACGAAAAAGATTAATTAAATAATTATCTATTAATTAATGGAAATGGTACAATATTAATATTGTATATATGTGGAAAGAGAGACTTTTCTTTCAACATATCATGTTTGCTTCTCTATATTGTCTTTTTGTTTAAGTAACAATTAGCAATTGTTAATGGAGGGTAGTATTAATTAGTGGTTATTAACATGTTACACATCAGGATCAGTATGTCACGTAGGGGCGGATTACCTGTGTCCACTTACATTCCTCGTTACATAAAATAAAAATATACAGGTAAAGATCTTATGAACAACTAGTTGCTATTAATCAGGAGTAGCCCACTGGAAGAGTCATGTATATTTCAGTCGAAGAACAAAAAATAAAAAAAATCATATTTCAATATGCTGAAGGGTAGGCAGTTGAACACATATCCCCGAAAATTTTACCGTGTATAAATCAAATAGTATTACCTTTTATACATATATATTAAATAGCGGCGGATCCACAAGGAGTGTTATGGATGCTTAAGTACCCATTGTCTTTGGCCAAACTTAATAAATTTACATAGGTAATTATTAAAAAATTTAAATAAGTATTGAATGAGCACCCATCACTAAATTCATTTTTCCTCTTCTTTTGATATTTTTATCGTTGGGCACTCATGACTTTAAAATTTTGAATACGCCACTGATACTAAATCTTGAAAGCTCTTAGAAAAATTTCTATTTTCGCCATTAAATACGCCCATATGCACGTTGGAGGAGGAAAGAATGAAAAGAGCTTTCTTTACCTAATAAATTAACCAATGAGCCAACAACCACCCTGAAGGCTAGGGTCCTGCTTTCATATTGTACCAACTCCAATTTGGATTTTACTATGTTAGGGAGAAATACGAAGGGTTTTTTTGGTTGGTTCGCATACTAATTATGCGGAGATTATAATGCAATGATTGTTTTATGCAATAAATAGCAATGAAAGAATTGTTATGCACTTATTATTAATGAAGGATTGTTATACACGAATTACTTACTTTAAAAGGACATTTTTATCTTTAAATAGTTTAACGTAATCTTATTTCACATGTTATCCTTATAAATAATGGAGTAGATAAATTTTCACATAACTTGATGGAAGTAGTATTTAATACTGCCAACCAAAAGCTTGATTACTTTTGCTTATGCCAACGAAGCAACCAAACACTATTGTCTATATGAGATTTTATATGATATTAATTGTTTCAAAACCATCAACAACTCTTAAGAAAACGGCAAATAGAGAGCTGTGGGCGGCTTTCTCTACTTATAAGGAGGATTTGTTAACTGTTGCCTCCAAAATTCAAAGATTAGGGAAGTAACAATTAATGCAAAAACAACCAATTGAAAATCAAGAATCATGCTTGTAATTGTCCAAGATACCAACAAATGAACTATATACGATTTGATCCCTATATCGGCAAAAAATATTAGACTCATCTTTATCCTATGACTCATCCTTTCTGCACACTTTCACTGAGTTATCTGTAAGAGCTTAGCTACCAAGAATCCTTCAGATCATTCTTATAGAGTCAACATAAGATCCTGCTACTTGTTTCAACTTTTTTAGAAATTTACTTTGATGATGACAGGAAACATGTCCAGTTTCTGAGGTAGAGGCAATAAGAACAAAGTTCTCTCCATTCCCAACATCTATCTCATACAGCCCAGCAAAAACTTGTTGAAATTCAACAATGACTGACTTGTAAGACGACTGGTCTGAAGGAATCACATTTATGATA